GCATCTGGCGATGCGGGCTGCTCAGAATAGCGGGGGGACAAAGGACGGAAGGGTGTGTAACAAAAAGCGGTCGGAGAGAGCGGCAACTAAAGGGGCGCAGAGGCAGGGTCGACGTTTAACAACAAGAATCTATGGGCACCTCGCAGATGCCTCATCCTTGGTCAAAAGTGGTTTCCCCGGAAGTCGGCAGAGTGCCGACTCTGTTCACTGTAGCGGATCGGTGGCGCTCGAAGACGTTCATTGTGAGAGCAATTTTGTGCCATTGAAAAAATGTATATTTTCACGGTCATGCGGATATTGTTCGTTCCAAGCAAAAGCTAATTTTAAGTGGGGCCATTATATGTGGGCTCGACTATACATAAAACTCGGGTATATAGAATTATTGGCTCTATCGAACAGTTAAAAAAACCCCTTGCATTTCCCATGCAAAAGTATAGGACCGGTGCACCTATATATGAAACTCTCACACAGAAGGACATCTGCTGCATCGAACCCACAGACGAACATTTGCTGTATCGAACGCTGCACCGCGCTGAAGCCCAGAAAGAGCGAAAATTGATCAATTTTTCGGCAGCGTTCTCACAAGTTTCAATCTCTTTTCCCGGCCAGGTGATGAAAAGACCACGTTATTTCATCGCGCTGATCAGGTTTTCGCGCGGCACTTACGAGTGCATCGGTATGTTTAATCCATAATCTGCAGGGGTTAATGCACGAGCATAGTGTTAAAAAAAAAACGTGCCAAGGACACCAAAATGAGAATGCAAAGTGAGTCGGTTATCTCACCGCAATGTTTCCATTTCTTTCCTCCTTTGCTAGCGCAAAATGACATATGAGCCTGAAAGGCATGGCCTTCGAAATCCTATTGACATATTTTAGCATTCTTGGTTTTAAAACCCATGTCTCGAAGGCTTTGCTTCTTCTAGCTTTTTGCATTAAAGCAGCTGAAAGCAGTGGCTACCAGATGCAAAGCCACAAGTCAAATCAATATAGTCAACATGTCAGCTGTGAGAACTCTGCATGTGAGCCAGGCGGGCCAGGTGACGACTTGGGGTGGGTCATGACCACTGAAAGTGATGCACGGTGCTTTAATGAGTTCTGCGACTGATCAGCATTTGCAAGCAGCATCTGGGACATAGAGTGTCTTCACCGGTGCTGATGACGACTGTTTCGAAATGCATCAATGCTAAAATCATGGCTGCCATTGCAGGTGCTATGGAAGTGTACCCGTGCGATTACAGTAAAGCCTCGTTACAAAGAACACCACATTAACAAACATTTCAGATAAACGAAATAAAAAATCCCGTGCCAACTGCTTATAGCTTCAATGTAAAAATATTTCACTTGTACGAACTTCGGAATAACAAATATTTCAGAATAACAATCATTATTTATATTCCTGTGTCATCTTAATAACACCTCAGTACTACGAACTTATATCCCAAAATGCAAAAATTCTCAGATTTTATTCGCTGTATGGGTCATCACGGTCGGAGCTGTAAGCTAGCAGACTACGCAGTGCGAGCGGATGCCCTCTTGCAAAAACCCGAGATGACGCAGGAAGAGAAAAACGCAGAGGACTTTCTTTTTTTTTTTTTCCTCCTTTGTGGAGGTGACGACGTATCAGGTTTTGTAGGTGGAGTGGGGACATAGGCTAGGAAAACCTGACACGGTGCGGGAGAAGAAAAAAAGTTTTTTCTGATGTGGAGGCGACGACGACGCATCGCATTTTTTTTGCATGCTTTATCAGTTGTTAACGTGCTGTCACTCATTTCAGGCTTCTTTATCTTGGTTTTCTCTGCGTATTTTGTGTTAGAAGTGTGTGCCGGCGTTCGCGTTGCCATGAACTCAACAACCCCTCCTCCGGTGAAAAAGCGGAAGGAGTTTTCAGTGAGCGACGAAGTAGAAGTTCTTCGAGAAACAGAAGGCGTAAATAACCAAGCCGTCGTGGCTAAAGAACGTGGAGTGGCGCGGTCGACAATCGCCACAATTCTAAAAGACAAAGAGAATATCTTCAAGCATTAGCAAGAATCTCAGCTTGCCGCATCAAGGAAGCGACTGGGGCTCGGGGACTTCCAGAGTATTGACGCAACTGTGCTCACTTGGTTTAAAAGCGTGAGAGCACAGAATGTGCCCGTGTCGGGCCCAATAGGCAAGAAAAGGTGCGGCAGTTCCCTACTGTTCTTGAAGTCACCGGCTTCAATGTGTCTTCTGGCTGGCTCCACCGTTTTCGTAAACGAAACGATGTAACCTGGCAGACTGTGTGGCGACGAAAATGCAGCCAATGAATCAGCAGCAGCCACGTGGAGAGAGGGAAGTTTCTACAAAATGGTGAAGTCCTATCAACAGCTGATATTTTCAATGCAGATGAGACGGCCTGCTTTTATCAGCTGCTCCTGGATAAGACAATTCATTTTAAAGGAGAGTAGTGCAAAGGTGGCAAGACGTCGAAGCTTTGAGTCACCACGCTGTATTGCTGATACAGATTGCACTGAAAAGCTGAAGACTCTAGTGATCGGGAGGTTTTCGAACTCAGCTGCATGAAAAACGTAGCGTCGCTGCCGTGCCAGTGTCGGGCAAATCAGCGTGCCTGGATGACCTGCGAGCTGTTTACCGAGTGGCTGCTAACGGTAGGCGAAAAGATAAGCAAGTAGGGGAGGCACATTCTCATGATCGTTGACAATTGCTTGGCGCTCATTGTAAACATTCGGCTTACGGATGTGCGTCTTGAGTTCCAGCTGCTGAACTGCACGTCAATACTTTAGGTACCTGAGCAAGGCATAATAAGGAGCGTGAAGTCGCACTTCCGGAATCGTCTTGTTCAACGGGTGCTCATAAAACTCCGCCTACAGCGCCCGACAGCCATCAACGCACGAGAGGCTGCGGAAATGCTTACGAAGCTTCCATCCACCACCGAAGCATGGTGGTGGATGGAAGCATGGTGGAACATGGTGGAGCTTTCCATCCACTACAGTCGCCGACCGTATATTCGGACTCGACGGGAACCGCCAAAACGTCCGAATAATTGGGAGTCCGAAAAAACGGATTCACTCGAAAAAAAAAGCACTTTTATAGGCCCTATTGCCAGAAAAAACTGTCATGTGTGCACACACGCACGCTTCAGAGACGGTTTGCTTGGAAATAGAAAATTCAGACTTCAGACTGAGGCAGGCCGCCTTCTACCTGGCGAATTATATCCGCTTTCTTCGTCATCGTGAGCGTCTTATAGCTCCCACGTTGGCCCGTTTCTTCACTCCCGACGGCGCAGCAATGGGCGGCATTGTAGCCATTTCAGCACGCCACGAAACACGCAAGAGAGCGAGAACACAGACAACAAGACGAATCAGGCCTAGCCGCAAAAACAGCTGACTGACACTGCTGACAAACGCCACAGTGAACAGACTCTGTAGGTGGCTTGGCTTGGCCGCTCGACTGGCTAAAAAAAGCGTCGCCATACCTAGCCTTTGAGATCGGCAATGGCGATTTCTGCATGCATTTTGACACTGGCCAGACATCCATACATAGCTAGTGCAGCATATCAGTGCTGGCAACCTAGCAAACGTATTGTTGACGTCGCTCTCAGCCTGTAATGGCGTACGGCGACGCATCCGGCCAGTTAATCCGAATCACCAAATGGCACACAGTGGTGCGTTCGAATTTTCGGTCGCGAGTTTACATTAGGATCAATGGGGAGTGTGGCGGTGCCATGAAGATGTCCGAATAAACGGGCATGTCCGAATTTCGAAACGCTCGGCGACTGTACTATTCAAAACTGCTGTAGGAAAACCGGCCTCATGACAACAAATGGCCAACAACAAAGTGATGAACCGGCAGCGGAGAGAAGCTCCTGCGAGCTCTGGAACGAGGTGGCCGAGCAGCTAGCCATCGATCTTTCATCCACATTTGACGGCTATGACAAGTATAATGAGGCGATGTGGACGTCAGCGGAGCTTATGACTAATGACATCCTGCAGAGCGTCCAGGGCACAGAGACTCGGGATGACGATTGCAGCGACGACATGGCCGATGATGTCACGGCAGCACCTGAAGATCTCGACGAGTCTGTGTCAGTCACAGATGCATTGAAATACTTGAGAAAACTCCGCATATTTGTAGAAAACAGCAACCGAAGCAGTGCATAAATGAGCGAAAAGTCTAGTATCATTCGTGATGCAGAGTTTGTGCTCCACCCGTCAAAAAACGATCCCAGACTATTTCAAATGAACGTGCCTTATCTTATGTTCACATGTGCATTGTTGTGAGAAATAACTTAAAGAACGTACCGTTGCAGAGGTAACACGTTTGCGTTACTGAAATGTTATTTTTATGGCGAATTTTTGGACTTTCGTTAAAACGACCTTTCAGAATAACGAACAATTATCTGCTGTCCCCAAAAGTATGTTTTATCGAGATTTCACTGTAGTAATATGCCAACACTCTCGCTGCCGCCGCCAACCAATCTTTAGTCGTGCTACAAAGCTTGCATCGGTGATCTGCGTTAATCAAAGCTGTGGCGGCCGCAGGAGCTGAACTCACTTATTTGAAAAGCTTCAATGATATACTGCAACTTGACGACGCGTAAAGACAACTTTACAGACTGTTTTCATTCAAGATAAAGTGCGGTAACTTGCATTTCACACCTTGTTCTTCATTTTACTACGAGAGAATCGTTATGTTAGCACTTGTAACGATTTCTGAGGCCTGAAATACTTTATATTGGCCTTAAATTCACATATTTTATCTATCAAACTATTGATTTATCAAAGTATTTCGCAATCCGCTTTTAGTTTGACATATCCGAGATCGACTGCATATAAATGCTACACTGCTTCACAAATAATGCCAGAGCAGGCTGAAAAACTTGCTCTGGCTTTCAGTTCTAACAATCACAGAAGGTTTACACTTGTTTGTCTAACAATCACAGAAGGTTTACACTTGTTTGTCACTTCTGCTGTGCTCCTTGATAAAGCAGCAGCTAAGCTACGATCCTTGAAAACCCTCACCTTGTCATCCTTCTCCTTTTCAGCAGGTATTGATGAGGGACCATTGGTGGCCGGAGATACAGCGTCATCAGGCACTGCCTTGGATGGCGAGTTTGTAGACAAGTGTTTTTGTGCCAACGAGCTGTGAGTAGCTGCCGATTCATTGTCCACCTCCACCGCTGCACGGCGGGCCTCCGCGAGCTGAGCCTTCACCTCGGCAAGCTCCTGTGGCAAAAATTGCTATCTGGGACTACGCTTGGTCAACTGGCTATACCACAATGACATTTCCATTTACAGAGATGGAGACTACTTATTAGACCTTGGGCTGGCTGGTTCAAGATTACGAGTGGAAAAACAGGGCTAAAAAGACTAGACGCGAGAGCACCATGCTGACCGACTACATAACGTGCTTATTCCTTCCATGGGCATATACAGGTTGTCCCAAATGTCACGCAGCACAATTTTAAAGGGGGCCTGCAACACCTTTCAAGTAGCTATGAAATGGATTCACCAAAGGAGCTTATAGGCTCACTTTTTTTTTTTTTTTTGCAAACTTTTGAATTCGTCCTGTACGTGCGGAGTTACAAAGATTTGTCACACGCTACAATTGCATTCTCTCTTCTCTTGCCTTGACGAAAACACTGACAGCTCAGCAGGCAGGGAGCCATGGGGAAAGAAAATCCAAAATGGCCACCTTGCGACCTTGAGCACATTTGATCTATCTCTCTTTTTTTTCCCCCGAATACACAGCTTTTCAATGCAATTGCATGTGCACGCCTGGACAAGTCATGCCTCCCGCAGCGGCCCCTGTATTGACAGAATGTGCCATGCTCAAATGAGCCAATGGCTTATATAATGGCTGTGATGAACGATTCTTGAGCTTGTAGCATCATTTGTTGAAAGAAACGAAAGCAATTTTTAGATGACATTGAGAATTTATTGTGAACTACGCATAGCATGCTGAGCTACAATAATTGGCTCGCATGTTCTCAGAAGCCTCGACTACCAAGTCCAGCAGTATTTGGAGCAGTATAAAATAGAAGGCTTACATATAGAAAAAATAATATATATATATATATATATATATTGTTAGGGCGTTTATTAGCCCGCACAAAGTGAACATACACAATGGGGACAGTAACGGCCAAGCACGAACTCTCAGCGCGAGCGGCGTCTTTTTTGGGTAGACGCACTAGAAAACACTTAAGAGTTCGACCCATTTCAGTGTTCAGAGGCTTCTCTACAAGATATATATATATACACAATTTAACATCACCTCCATCACGCAGTGTGAACACGAGCACTGCTATTTCAGTGAAAGTTGTACTTTGAACCTTCCCGCTAAGCAAACAAGAATAAAGTCTACATTAGCATTTGTGGCACTAGTCAAATATTTGACAGACACCGTGAATTTAAATATCAATATACTAAGCTCGCAACCTTGAAATCTGAGAGATTCGTAAAACAGAGAAGTAGGGGGGGAGAAAAGATGGGCGCACAATTTTGTTTCTTTTTTAGGGAAGCATAAATGTCATACGCTGCTTCAAATGATTGCCAGTAGCTCATTTAGACATCGGTGATTATACTGCTGCTAGGAATGTGCGGCGTACAAACGCATGAGTAACTGAAAAAAATGTGCAGTGTCCCACTAGCGCTAACAGCCCCTTCTAAATCTCAATGCGCCTTCACACAGGGCACCAGTATACTGCAGCAAAGGTGGCTCAAGCAGCATTAGAACCAAAGCCAAGAAATTTTTTTCCACCCCACTCCCCCCTCCCCTTTTCACCGTGGGGCTCGATGCTGCTTTGGCTCCCTTGCAAGGCACGTTCAACCAGGCTAAGTATTAATGGCGCCCGCCTGTTGGCCCAGCGACGATATCGAATATCTATCGCGAAGACTGTGGCAGGGACGATGCAATTTCAAGACAAAAATAAATGTTTTATGTGCCACTGCTAAGGCAATAAATGTAGGCGCTGGCAGTGCCGGCGTTCGCAGCACGTCGAGCTTGTTCCTGAAAAGAAAACGCGGCATACGCTTCTAGCTTTAGTTCTTAACAAGCCATAGCCGATTTTCAGGCTAGGAAACTTATACTTCCCGCAAAGCATTGGTGGCTACCGCAACGCATTTTCGTCTTGAAGTTACGTCGTCCCGCCCATAGGTATCTGCTGCAATATCCGGACCAATGGGCATGCAGCATTGTTACATTATCTGGTCGATCACGTCTGGTGACCATAGGGCAGATGCCTGGAATATTTTAAGTGTATTTTAGGTGCTATAGTTCGGGTCTGCATGCTTTTACTGATAGGGCAAGCTGCAGATAGCCGACGTGGCCTGCATTTCTTGCCGAAATTAGCGAACCTGAACAAAATTTTGAGGCTGGCTAGGCATTTTAGTGCAGTGTTGCACCTCTGCACAAATCATAGTAATCATAGATTCCTGGGTTTGGCGCAACAATCATGAATCGTATCAAACTGGCGCAATCGGCGCACCTGTTGCGACCCTGCACAAATCATAGTAAAAAGGCTACAAAAAAATTTGTGCTGTCATTTAAAGCAGCCCTGCAACACTTAATGAGCATGGACAGAAAGCTCTGCCAATCGGTAGTTGAGGATTCCGAGAACATACGTGTCAAATATTATGGTGCGGCACATGACCTGAAACTTACAATTAATTTTTGAAGTCAGCTCATTTTCTCTGATCTTGACGCTACAGGCTCAAATATCACTACCATCATCTTCACATCTTGTGTGCAGAATGGCAGACTGTTTGTCCATGTTCGAGCCTTCGTTACTGATGATATATTCAATATAGACGAGACCAGATTAAAGTTTGTCTGCACAGAAGTTGTGACCATGCACCAGCCATGAGAATGTTGTCAAAATAGAATGCTACATGTTCTTCATCTCGCATTGAAAAACAGCTGGAGCAGGTGAGATTATCGAAGTAAACTTGTGCGAATATTTGATTGCTTTGAATATTTGAACAAATATTACTGTTAAAATAGGGTGTTGCACGTGAAGAAAGATTCAGACGTCACTCAGCAAAATGCTTTTTATTGGACAAAACAGGCTTCTTGTAAGCGCGTGCGCGAGCTGGAACTGCAGCCACCGATCATTGTCGTTGTCTCCCATAATAGCAGAGGGTCCGTCATTCACATGCATTCCAATTATTCCCCGCAAAATAAGAAGCCATCCTGACAACCTATGGACAAGTAAACATAGGAGGGTTGTAGCACTGCTTCAATCTGAACACACGGACGATTTCCTGGCCACTAGGACGATGGTCCGAAAAGGGTTCCACGGGCTCGATGAGGTAGTTTACTGGTGATATTTTTTGTAGTACACGACATGGGCCGTGATACTTGGGCCAACTAAATGGAAAGGCCAGGTGTAGCAGAAGGGACACGCAGCCAGACAAGTGAATCCTGATCGTAGGAAGCAGTATTAGTGGATGCATCGTGGTGGTGCTTCTGGCACCTTTGGGCTTGTGTTGTAAAGGACCATGCAAGTTGGCGGTATTCTTCGGTGTATGTAGCGGCTTGGGATAAAATTGCGGATTCTGAAGCGTCAGGTCTGTACAACAAAATTGTGTCCATAGTGCGTCATCGCCCAAGAGTAGCATTGGATGAAAGGGAATATTTAACCTGTAAAACATACGGAAATGTTTTTCTCTTAATGTTTCCATATGTGGGCAAGCTATTAAAATGTGCATTACAGTTAGTTACTCCTGACACTTATCGCATGTTGGGGCTTCTTCGCCTGCCAATAGGTAATTATGTGTGATGTGCGTGTGACCTATTCGTAGTCGAAATATAACTACTTCTATAAAACGCGCTTGATGAAGACAGGTCTTCTATTCACCAAAAACAGGTTTAATTAGGGGAAGTTTGTTGTTTTGTTGTAATTTCCATTCCTGCTGCCAGTAAAAGGTGGTGGCCCGGCGAACAGCTTGAATCCCATCTCTGGCAGGTATGTTGGTTTTTGACTCGCACATCTCTTTTGCTGTTGCAGCTAGTTGGTCTGCCCTTTCATTGCCTGGGATCCCGACATGACTCGGGACCCAACAGAGGCGTATGGTGTGGTCATCAGGTGTGTGGGATAGCATGTTTAAAATATCGCCTATGAATGGCTCATACTGAGATTTATAATTGAGACTTTTCAGCGCGCTTAACGAGTCTGTAAATATTACGGCTTTTTTATGTTTTGAGCTTATAATGTATCGTACTGCCATCCATAACGCATAGCACTCAGCGGTGTAGATGGATACGAACTGCGGTAGTCTAGTTATTTGCTCGTGTGTTGCTCCTACCACGCTACTTCCGACATAAGCAGATGTTTTCGAACCATCAGTATAAAATTCTTCAGAAGTGTTGTACGTTTGTTATAATGTAAGGAATTCTTGTAGTATATGTTCACGTGGGGTGTTTTGTTTTTTTATATGTGTGAGTGAAAAATCCAAGAATTTGGAGAAATCACTCCATGGGGCCAAACTGGGTGGCCTTCTAGCAATGGAGAGTGCTTCGTTATGAATATTCAGGGCATGAAATTTTTCTTCAAATCTTAGTATTAGTGGCTTAATTACGTTTGGTTTATTGGCATAGTGTTGTCGTAGGTAACAGCGTGTGACAATACTGTGGCATATATGATCTGGTGAAGAACAAACTCTAAGGACTAACGTGAGCATTAGTTTCGTTCTCCTATATTCCAAGGATGGTTCGTTACTTTCGGCGTATAAGCTCGAAATAGGTGAGGTTCGATAGGCACCTGTTGTGAGGCGTAACCCTTTGTTATGGACAGGGTCTAGGCGCCTAAGGTACGAGTTTCTTGCTGAACCGTAGATTATACTACCGTAGTCTAATTTGCTGCGTACTAAAGAGCGGTAGATGAGCACGAGGCACTTCGGTCGGAACCCCAGTGCTTTCGGAACAAGACTTTGAGGACATTGAGGGCGCTGTTGGATTTCACCTTGAGATTATTAATGTGTGCAAGAAAATTGAGCTTCTTATAAAATACGACCCCCAGAAACTTCTGTTCTTGTTTTATTGGCAATACTGTTTCGTTTATTTTCAGTACGGGGTCTGGTTGTAAGCCTTGTTTCAGGGAGAACGCTACAGCAACCGTCTTTTCCTCAGAAAACCGGAAGCCATTTTTGTTAGCCCATTGTGTTAGCTTGTTTAGTGCAATTTGAATCTGTCGCTCGCACGTCGCCATGTTAGATGACCGGCA